CTTAATATTAAGCTTGAGCTCGGCTCGAGCTCGTTTAAAATCGATTTCGAGTCGAACTTTTACCGAGCCGATCCCGAATAGCTCACGAGTAGCTTGACTCGTTTGCACCCCTAATTTAACGCCAAATGGACAAGAGTTAAAATATAATTTCAAGGTTAGGGTTAATAAGAGAAATTAAATATCCTCATATTTTCCTTCCTACATATATTTCTACTCATTTGAAATGATGACAAGTGTATTCAAATATTATTAATCTTATCCAAATATAACACATATCACCATTTCACATGGGTAGGAATATAAGTAGGAAGAAAATGTAGGAGGATATTTAATTTCTCGGGTGAATAACAAATAATATATTACAAAGACCAAACACATAATTTAGCAAAAAGTATAAAAAGTACAAGTTAAATATGATTTATCTATTATTTCTTCTTATTATTGAACTTTTATTAAAGTAAAAAAAAATAAAGACAGATCTAATTAAAAAACTAATCTTTTTTCAAGGTTTAACAATTTTTTTTAAGGATTTTTCCAAACTAGACAAAACTCATAAGTATAAAGATATAATTAAAGCATTTTGAAGAAGTTGAGCATTGTGAATTGTGACTTGTGAAAGTCTTCCCGTGGGTGAAGTTCGTTTAACCACCACCTGTCCAGTTCAGCTCACTCACAAATCTAACGCCGCTCTCCCCTCGTTCATATCGCCATTGATTTAACTCGACGCTCCTTCCATTCTCTGGTTTCGCCGCCCTCAAACCCTTACAAAATCCCTACAAATTTCCTCCGCCATTGTCTCCCTTTGATTCGATCTGAATCTCTATACCTCCTATACTTGGAGTTACCGTCCTCCTTCATCAATGGCGTCCTTCGCTGTTCCTTCGCCCAAGACATCGGCTTTGTTCGCGGTTCAGCCAAATCACAAGCAGAGTCCTAGTCCCAAGCACCGCAACAACTCGGTAGCTCTTTTCCAGTCGGATTTGAAATCCGGCCGTGCATTGGTTGCTGGATCATCTTCACTAGGATTTCAGGTGTTTGATTTTTGCTTTTCTTAGGATGGGTTCAGTTGAATTTACTTGAATCTAGGATATTAGTACATGCTTGATGTTGGACTTACCTAATTGCTCAAGTGATTGCATTTGGTTCATTTCAGAACTTCTTTTGCATATTTTTAGATACGTATTCGGTATTCTATCTCTGCTTGCGTATTCCGTAGACATTGTATGTTTCAATTGATTAGCTAATGTGTTAGCTAGGAGTTCGACTTTCTTTGTTGTTATCGGCATCTTTTGAGTTTTCCGAGATAAAAAGTAGTCTTATAGCACGAGAAGTTTTTATTGCAATTCAAATTTGTAAATGTAAGATGATTTCTTCTTAATTGGTTATTTATTTATTTATACCGAGACCAAAACTACTCTAAAGTCATCTGTTGAAGAATTTTCCTGGTTTGCCTCCTGTTACTATTGGTTCAATTTAAAGATGGAAGAATCAGGGCAAAGGATAAGATAAACTATATGCTTATTCCTGTAAGGAATCAACAACAAAAAACTGACACAAACCAACTAATCAAATGATGGGGATTACATTGATCATATATAACACGATAATAATCTCTAGACTTTTCATGATCAGAAAATTGTCTACATGGATCGCTTTCCTTTCTGAATTGCAAAGTCTTGGCTTTATCCAGAAAGATTTATTTGCTTATCTTTACCTGTAGACATCAAAGAAGAACCAGAAAGATGGTATGAGAGTATCTGCTCAGCTTAATAAGGTTAGTTAATTAGTGCATACATTTCTATGTCGTCTTTATCCATATCTAAAACCCTTTTTTCTTAAGGTCATTGCTCTTCAGAAAACAAATTCATCACCATCTTCAGAGAAAGCAACAAAGACAGCCCCATCAGAAACCACAATCCCTGATGATGCAACGATTACTGCATTCATGAATCAAGTGGCAGAGCTTGTTCAGTATGTGAAACCACTTTACATATATATATTTATGCCTTCCTACACAGTACACACAAGTTTTGTATAATATTTAATGCATGTATTTCAGGCTTGTGGATTCAAGAGACATTGTGGAGCTGGAGCTAAAGCAACAGGGGTGTGAGGTTGTTATAAGAAAGAAGGAAGCTTTGGCACCACCTCCAGCATCTCCTATGGTTATGATGCAATCTCCACAACCACAGGCTATGTATCAATCACTACCACCTCCACCTCCCGCTCCTTCTGCATCAGCATCAGCATCAGCACCACCATCAGCTGCCCCTGCAAAGCCAAAGTCCTCCCATCCTCCATTGAAATCCCCCATGGCTGGAACCTTCTATCGTTCTCCTGCACCAGGAGCCCCTGCCTTTGTCAAGGTAACTTTTCATAGTCACATGCTTGAGAAATTTAGGGCTTAGGGTTTAGGGTATCTACATGCTATTATTGGTAAAAAAAAAAAAAAAAAAAAGCACATTGCTATTTTTGGGAAAGATTTAAAAGCATATTGTTATTATTGATGTAAAAAAAATAGAGTACATTGGCTATATTTGGTACAAAGAGTAAAAAATATGGTGTATTTGCTGACATTTGAGGTTGGTATTTTGGTAACGTATGTTATGTTTTACAGGTTGGAGATAAGGTTAAAAAAGGTCAGGTTATCTGCATTATTGAGGCAATGAAATTGATGAATGAGATTGAGGTAACTAATGTTGTTGCACTGCACTTTCTTTAACATTTTGGGTTATTCATGTTAACTGAACTGATAGATCTTTGGGCTTTTGGCTATTTTTTGTAAAATCAGTTGTCAACTGGAATAACAATGAAAATAATATATTTTATTTACATAAAAGATGAGCTTACTGATAACAAAATCTTGTATGAGATGTGTATCAGCCCAATTAAAGCATGTTAGAAGTTATAATAATAATTTCTATTATTTTGTTATTAGGCTGATCAAGATGGAACAGTAGTTGACATTGTTGCTGAGGATGGAAAACCAGTTAGCCTGGATACGGTCTCTCTCTCTCTCTCTCTCTCTCTCTCTCTCTCTCTCTCACACACACACACACACAGGGGAAATTTTGTTTTTTTAAACAGTCAAAAAAATATAATGGTTTAATCAGTAGATAAAATTGAATTGATAAATTCCCATACTTGATTTTTGTGTGTTTAAGTTGTATAATTATGACTAAAAATGGCATTGCATTGGTGGAATGGTTTGCAGCCTCTAATTGTTATCGAGCCATGAAGATTGAAGAGCTACAGAAACGGATGTGATAAATTGAGCGAGCTTAATTAATTAGACTGTTTAAATTTTCTGTGTTTTTATTTTTAATTTTAGTTGTGGTGTCAAAATTTTATGTAACAGATTGGTTTTGTTCACTTCATTTCATGTAAGATAAAATAACCAACCAACCTACCATTTTTAATGAGGATGCTGTTTTAGCCAAGCCATTGTTTCTTCATCCTGCTTATTAACAAATACTATACGTTAGTGTTGAACCTATGATACATTTGCGTAAATTAATATTTTTCTATGAAAAATAAATAAAATAACGGTCTTATTTATTTAATTTGAAAATAAGTATATGTGTTATTAGCAAAATTTCAATTTTAACATTCCATGTTAAAAAGGCCATTTTCACCATGGTTTTGAAAAACGGACCAGATTGGAACACAAAAAAATGACTTAAAGGGTTAACCCACTATATCCAATCGTAATGGTATAAAGTATAAACGGAAAAAAAATATTGAAGAGCTCGGTATCTGTAAATAAAAAATAATAATAATAAAAGAAAAACTTGTATGATTTCAAAATTTTCTTATTTTTGGATAGGGATAATGACTTAAAAGGGTAATATATTTTTCGATTTGTACATATTTGGTCACTGAGTTTTTTTTCCGTCCACATTTACCCCTTCAACTTGTTAAACTGTACACATTTAGTCCTTATGACCGGCTACTTGAAGTTAGCCGGTAAAAATGACTTAATAGGGTAATATATTTCTCACTTTGTACACATTTAGTCCTTAATATTTTTGTACACATTTAGTCCTTAATTTTTTTGTTTTGCAAAATAAGACATTTTTGTATTTGTACTCATTTAGTAATTATGAATGATTTTTTAAGGCGGCAGACCAACAAACCATGGGTATTCCAGTTCGATGACTGATTGGATCTGTTGCATGTTGGTATTCGAGTCCAATGACTGATTGAGCCAAAGTATTCCAATCTGATGAGTGTGGGCCCGTTATGCATGATAATATGTTTGTTGTATCGGGTATTTTGGGGGGAAACTCACTAAACTTTGTGTTGACCTAGTTGTTTATGTTTTCAGGTTCTATCGTTGATCGTGGGAAGGCGAAGGCAGGATTGTACACACTCATCAACAGTATTGAGGATTTCGCGTTTCATATATTACTTTGATTTTCGCTAAACGTATTTTGGAATAAATGTTTTTTTCTTAATAATAGATTTATAATTCGAGAGTTTTGCCTTATTTAAAAATGATTTTTTTTGTTATGAAAATGAGACGTTACACATAAACGTCAACAGCCCCACACACTTCATTAATAATTGTCTCACGTAAGATGTCGTGAGAAAAGCCTAAAAAAATCATTCATAATTACTGAATGAGTACAAAAACAAAAATGACTTATTTTGAAACAAAAAAATATTAAGGACTAAATGTGTACAAAAATATTAAGGACTAAATGTGTACAAAATGAGAAATATATTACCCTATTAAGTCATTTTTCTCGGCTAACCTGGAGTAACCGGTCATAAGGACTGAATGTGTACAGTTTAACAAGTTGAAGGGGGTAAATGTGAACAAAAAAAAAACTCAATGACCAAATATATACAAATCCAATAATATATTACCCTTTTAAGTCATTATCCTTTTGGATAAATTGTATTCTGTATTTTTAAAATCAACTATGCTAGAATTTCATAATCACATATTACCTAAAAAAGAAAATTAACTTTTTATTACTTATAAATTGAACGTGCGAACACCTGGCCCTGTAACACTGCCGCAGCCAGTGGTCTTCTTTGTTATTTATCGTCTCTTACTGTTGGATTTTGGTTTCAGAAATCCAGTGAACGAATTCGAAAACCATAACTCAAATGGAATCGAGACTTTCTTTACTTTCTTTATCTGAATCAACCCACCAAAGCCCTCAGAATTCAGGAGCCAAATCTTCACCGTCTTCAGTTGTAAGTCGGTTATGGAGACCAGCAGCACAGAGAAATATGAAAAACCAATGGTCCAGATTGAATTCTCTTAGACAAGAGTGGGTGTCTTCATCTTCAGCTGCGAGATCACATGCCACTTCACTCGTCAATGCTTATCTTTCTCAGAGGCATTTTCTCAAACACCTTCTTAGCAATTCTGATTATCACACGATCAAACACTTCTTAGCAATTTCACTGTGAATAAGAATGTTCTAAATTCTAGGGTGAACTTCATTTCTTTGCGGTTGTTTTCTGCTACAGGTACATGAAGGATATGGAATTGGGTGTTTTGAGTGACATGGCTGACATTCAGAAAAAAGCTTGCTTGAAATTATTAAAGCAACAGGTGATCAGTTGTATCTTTTCATATTGATTCCAGTTGTGTTGTAGCATCTGAGCTTGTAATCGTAACCTAATACGACATATGAGGGTTGACAAATTCGAGATTGAAGCTGATTATAGTAAATTCAAAGAGCCGAGTTTCAGTTTCAATTTTGTCGACAAATACTATATACTAGTATTAATAGCATACTGTTAATTTCAGTATCTTAAATCATCATATATTTTATGTATTCTATAAATTGGATCATATTCTAATCTTTACTCATTTCTTGTAGGTTCTTCATCAAGATAAACTCATATCATCATACAAGGACATGGTAAGTGCATTTCAATAGTGAAGAATTAAACACCATTATACCCATTTTATATTTATGATCTACAGGTGACTACAGTAGTCAACATGGTCAACACAAGTGCATCCATGAGATGTTTCCTTAAAGGGGCAACCAATAGCCCCTTTATACAATTCTCTAGCACTTCTGAAGACACAAATGACAATGGTGATGGTGGAGGGATACCAGTCTTTACATTTTACCCTATATCTACTTTTGGTATGTCACTATTGTCTATAGTAGAATACACATAAAAAAAAAAGGTAGAGAAATTAGCACTAATATTTTATTTATTTATAATGATGCTAGAGAAATTAGCTTGGGAGATAGTTGAGATGTTTAAGTTGGAACTATATTTGAAGGTACATTTTGAAAATGCAACATATTTTTCTCTTTTTCTACAAACATTTGTTATAATGCACAGTTTATATGATTTTTTCCATGGTTTGAGCATGAAAGTGCAGCGATTACTTGTGATAGAGTTTCTTTCACTTAGAAGCAAAGAAGATCCGATTAATAAAAGACTGTGTTGGTTGGATGAAATATACGAAGGAGAATTTGGTAATTTAAGTAGGTGCAACTTGGATCATAGAGAAGCTCCAGAATCAACTTTTGTACAACCCAATTTCCAACCAGATTCTGATATCTTACAGGTATATATGACTCAAATCAAAGGGGTTGTTTCTTTTTTCCCCATTCATTAAGTTCTATATGGGTAAAGTGGCTGAATGCATACTGTTAAAGTGTTGTGTATCTTTTTTGGTTTGTGCGGAATAAACCATCTGAGTGAGAGACCAAATGACCATTTTATCTTTGCATTCTAACTTTTTTGCACAAATTTAATCAATTTTAATGTGAAAGGGTAAATAAGTAAAGCGTTAGTATCTTAATGCATTAAGTCATTATGTCCAGATTAAGTGCTTAACCCATTAGCTCAAGTATTATAATTCAAACTGAAATACAGATACACCATTTGAAGATATGAATCTTTTTTAACTTTATTTGTATTATTTTACAGGTGTATTTAACAGCCTGGCTGACTGATGTCAGTATAGATAAGCTCAGGTACTGCTGGATTGGTAACACTTTTAAAACATTTTTTTTTTAATTTCAATATAGTATAAATTAATTTGATTATAGCATTACCTGTAGTTTATCACTATCTGAAGATGTTTGCATACATACAGGGTTGATGATATATTTTCTGAAGTGGGAGAAGAAATGCATTTTAACTATGTGTGAGATACTGATGCCTTTGTTTAGGTTAAAGAAACTTTGCTATCTTTTATGTTTGTAATCAACCTCCTTTTTGCTAGATTTTGGTGCAAATTGCTCTTTTTTTTTTTTTTTGTTAGGGTTAATGCAAGAAATAGTTATATACTTTCATTGATTTGTTTATTATAGTATACTATATTCATTTGTTTTTATTATTGTGTCGTATTTTGACAAGTCTATTCAATTACCACAATGATATTCTAAATATAAATTTCACTTATAATTCTGTAGATTTTTTAAACTTTAATATTTATAATAAGAAGAAAAAATGTTATAATTTTGTGGATTTTATTAAGTTACAGTGTTGTAACTGAAAGAAATGAAAATTGGATGTTATAACTTATAATACTTAAATATTGAAAGTACGTTTATATAGTCAAATTTCATTCTTTAAGCAACAGACATTTGAAAATTGACAATTAGATTGGTTTTATCTTAAACACGATTGAGTACAAAGGTTGATAGTTTTGTATTTTTATGAAAATACTAAGAAGTTAGGGTTTTTTTTTTCCTTCTTTTTGGTACATTTATTGAGATTAAAACAAGATCTAATTTTACATTTTCTTAAGAGTTAAATTCATATCTATAGAACCATGTTAAACTCTTTTTTTTTTTTTTTTTTTCTGTTTATGCAACAAAATGGAATTCTTGCCGGTTTATGCAACACTATCTTGATGCATCCAATTTATGCAATAGAGTCTATCGCTAATCAATTTATGCATGCATAATTTGGTTAATTTTAGCAGCAAATTGAAAAATGGTTGTATAATTTGTGTCAAAAACTTTTTTGTTATATGCATTTCACCTCTCCCCCGAACCTTGCACCTTGCAATATCAAGGAGCACGCCGCAGCGGGCAGTATGAAACCCATTTTTTTAATACCATAAAACAGTATAACAATTTAGCATTTGTGTACCTGTTTACTAGCTATATGCTATATGACACCTACATGATAGAAATGTACACCTCAGCAACAAATGAAAGTTGCACGGTCTTGGAACATAAATTACTTGTAATGTTGCGGAGGTGTTAACCATTTGGTTAGGAAAATTGTTTCTTATAATTATTTTATATTAAATTTATGTTTGACGGAATAGTTGAAAAGTTAATTGTTTGTCGATAAAAATAAATGTTTGATAAATTATATATATATATATATATATATATATATATATATATATATATATATATATATAAGATAGCATTTAGAATAATAATTCAATATTATTAGAGAATGATTGATCAGCTAACTAGATAATTCAATAGTATTCCAAAAACATGGAAGTACTAAAACATTCATTAAACGTGTTGATTTGATCTTTAGGATGAGGAGTACACCAAGCAAAACGTTAGGCCACCCCTCCTTATGAGTTTACTTATGACCATGCATTAGTAATTCAGTATTTTTCTTTTGAAGCAACATAAATCTAAGATGTAAATTTATGATAATAAACAAGTTACAAAACTATCTAAACAATTAAGAAATAATATGTTTAGGAGAATTTTAAAAAACTTCATAAACTCTAGTCTAAATAGCCTGCTAAAAAGTTAGCTTATAACTAATATTTGAGTTTATCAAATACCATAACCTAAAAAAAAACTAAAATAAACACCGTAGCGTTAAACATAAACCTTGATAAAAACGATGGGTTTGGATTGGGATTAAAAAATATAAGCAACTATAAGCCAGCATAACGTACAAGGTCCAAATATTCAAACCGGATGGCTCATCACTAGTTGGAACCAATATAAACCAGAGTTGATTCAAAATAATAAAAATGCGGGGTCAATAAACAATTGAAATATATTAAAAAAAATGCCATGTTGAACCCCTGAATAATCTTTAATGGCCGAAAAAACACCTTATACCATTGTGAAGTGATGCATTTTGCTTACTGGAATTTGATCCTTTGTTTCTGATTGACAGTGAAAATTCCGTCACCGAAATAAGTCCGGCAAATGAGGCGAAAACATAGTTTTTTTTTTTTTTTGGTGCGCTTGGAATAAGATAATAAGAGTGAAAATATGTAGGGAACGCAACAGAAACAGAAACAGATAACAAATTCCCATAAAATACATATCTGATCTTGATCCATTCATTCATTCATTAAAACTCTGAGATTTAGAACATTTTATCTACTACTCATAAATGGAATTTTGCTAACTAATTGGCTCTTCTTCTTCTTCAACTGTTCACTCCCACATCCACATCTACCCCTCACCCTCACCCCCACCCCAAATTGTATCTCTCTCTCTCTCAAGAATATGTAAGTAACCTAAAGCCCAAAACACCAAACTGCCATTCGTTTTCATAAGTAACAACCTATTTTACTCACTTTCTCCTGCCTTTTTGGTAATGCACATTACGTGCAAGAAAACTGATGAGGGTAGCAAAAGGGCGACTTGATGTTTTTTACCAATTACCAATCAATCATCATAGTGAGAGGCATTGTACCCTTTCCGGAAGATTCTTTGGCAACGGGACTGCAATAACATATCTTTGAGGGAAAGGTTTTGGTGCATTTGCAGCTGCATCAGCAGATGATGATGAACCTTCAGCATCCGTTTGTCCCCTTCCATGGAATTTCGCAAAACGATTGATGATGGAGAATTTCTCTAAATCTTGACATTCCACTCTTAAATCCAAGATTGATGCTCTCTTATCCAGCCTACCACACACAACAAAAACAAACATCATCAATAATCCAAAACCATTACCATATTATAGGCAAATCTACTTTCATTTTCTTTTACCATTTATGGTGTGACTGTGAATGCCAAAAAGGTGAAATTCTTGGAGAAACAAAGTTACCTTGAAAAATCATTTTCTAGACTTTTTGATTTACTCATGCAGTCTTCCACAACTTCTTCAAGACGACGATCCTCGGTTTTCTCAGATTCTTTGCTTTTATCAGAGAGGCTGCATTTGCCCAAACAATATACAATATATAAATACAAGAATGCAAAAAGCTTAAATGATTTAAACCTCAAGAATCTTTCTTACGAATTTGATCCACCATGAGAATCAGTGCAACTTCTTCCGGATGATACTAAATTGCATGCAGTTCCTAAAGCCTTTCGAGCCGCATAAAAAGCCACACTCTCATAACTCAAAGTAGCATCAGTTGACAGAATAGTGGCTGGGGGAGGAGGAAACAGTTGCTGCATCAGCTGTGTTGATAAGATAATACGTCTCTTTTGTCTTGGCACGTCTTCAATCACTTCACCATCATCTTCCACCTGTCACCACCATATACTTATTATTAGAAACTACAAAAGAAAAAATATATATACAAGTAGTCAAAAGAAATTAAAAAAAAAGCACGCCTTTTCCATCAACCGATTCGCTGCTCCACACCATTCCATTGAAGCAGTACTGCAATCAAAGAAATCAAAAACAGGTTAACAAAACAATCTTGTAGGAAAGAGGAAAGATGTGAATGCCCTTTTGACACGTACCAGATGTCTTGATGACTTTTAGAAGCCCCTGACACTTCCTTGAGCCAAGGATGAAGTTCAGGTGTAGAGTACTTGCGCTTCTTTGATCTCAAAGCAACCGAATTTTGAACACTGATGTTTGTTTGCAATGGAGGGGAGGCAAATTGTTCGGGTGTAAAAGATGAAGGAGGAATCGAGGGTTTTGAGATAACAACAGCCTGGCTGGGATCAGCTGCAGCACTTGCTTGTTCCTTATCATGTGCCTCCATACTCTTTACAACATCAGGTCTTTGTGACATCATTTGGCCACTTTTCAGCACTGTTCCATATTGATCAAACCAGGATGGAGCCATTTGGGGATTTACATGAGAGTGTTCAATTTTGACACCAGGAAGGATGCTTTGAGACCCGTTTTGATCAGATGCAGATGCTACTTGTTTTGCAGGAAGCTCTGAATCTTGAGGTGGGGGTGGGACTGTTGGTTGCCCTGACCATGGAGCTACATGCTGACCACTGTCGTCTTTCGGTCTCTTCGATATGAGGGTATTTTGGTCATTGTCCATAGCCTTCATTTGGTTTGGTAAAGAATAAAGAGTATTTGGTTTAAGAGAACGACCAAAAGCTTCAATATCCCTCTGAGATGCAGTAGGGTTAAGAGATGATGATGACTCATTGACATCTGTCGTTTCCTTTTCAGATGGGGATTCTTTTGTTGGCTGCTTTTGTTCCTCTACATTCTGCTGACCTGAAGATGTCGATTCCACTATATTTAACGGGTGCAACGTTGAAAGATTTGATTGGCCTTGGCCTTGGGTTTGGGCTTTGCGAGCTTGGGCTGCTGAAAAAAGTTGTTGAGTTGGGATATTGGCCCATGCATTGGGCAACATTTTTGGGAATGCAGCTTGTTGAGAGTTTCCACGAGGCTGAGCAGCAGCAGGGAATTTCTCTTTCTCTTTCTCCCCTGTTGAAGGCTGTGAAGCAGAGTCTTCATAAAGACCCGAGTTAAGTGATCTGACACGGGTGGCTTCATCTGCTTGCCTGATTTGAGGAGTATGATGATGCCCTTCATTGCCAGAATGATTTGTGCCCCTTGTCTGGTTTTGAAACTGATTTCTTGAATTTGGAAAATCAGTACCCAGAGCTGCAGAGAAGTTGGTTCCCATCTTATGCCCCCCTGAGCTTTCACTTGCACTTTGTCCCGAGATACTTGTTCTATCATTTTTGAATTCTGCACGTGATGCTTCTTGGAAAGGAGGAAAAGGGGACAAATTCGCATGACCCTTACCTCTTGAATTAGCCTGAGCCTGAGCCTGAGCCTGGGCCTGGGCCTGAGCCTGAGCCTGAGCCTGGGCCTGGGCCTGAGCCTGAGCCTGAGCCTGAGCCTGAGCCTGAGCCTGGGCCTGACTCAAAGAATTAGGTTTAATGGTCTGCATAGCCCTCTGGGATGGAGGTCCGAGTTGTAAACCAATCCCCTGAGAGTTGGATGACTGACTTCTTTGGTGGCCTCCAAAAGATCCATCAGAATTTTCTGGTTCAGGGATCTCAGATGACAAATTGCGTTCTAATGAGTTCATTTGCCTAGCAATTCCACGATCTCTTGATTGATCCACCTTGTGAAGAAGCTCCAGCATATTTTGACTGTTAAATTTAATAACAGAAGTCATCAAAATGACATCATAAGATCATGTACTTTCTTTTTTATTATATTAAACCAAGAAAAAAGAGACCCACAACTCAAATAGTATACCTAGGTTGAGATGCCTTATCTGATCTGTCATGAGGAGCAAAAAGATCAGGCACATGACCAGGAATCATGCCCTTGAAGCGCATATCATGTAACCCTTTCGGGACTCCTTCAAGCTCCTGAAAGAAAAAACAGTGTTCATATCTAACTAAATAAATATCACATGAGATAGAAATATTAAGTATGAATACACAAAAAATCACCTTTCCCACTTCAAAAACTTTAGTGGGTTGACCTTGACCACCAATTTTGGCATGTCCAAAATTTCCTTGAGAATGCTGAAGGGGGATGCCCTTTGTATTGGCAGCTTGTGTTCTTCCATAGGGCATTCCAACATCTTCATCTAAGTTTCCCATTGGATGATACTGAAACTTTCTTTGAGCTGAAGGCTTTCGGTTACCCTGATTAGATAAACTTTGTTTTGTCCCACCTAATGATCTCGAGTCACCAGCATCTGATGAAAAAGTCTCCCTTTGGCCAAGAGCATTAGGAAGGTGAGATGAACTTGACCTGTAACTGTCATTAGAGTTCTCCCTCTCATGCATCTTTAAATCTTCCTTATCAGAGCTATTAAACGATGATTCAGACACTTGTGGGCCCTTGTTCACCCGACCCTGTGATCTCTCTGAGTTCTCACTTCCTCTAGATTTAGAATCAACATGTTTCCAGTAATTAAGTTGATTGTTGTTTGGAGAAAATTGGTTAGCATGATTACCACCCTGCAAGCTGCCTAAATTTGGAGCAAGACCTCCTCTGTTTACAGTCTCCCTGTTAACATTGGGATGAACACGGGAATTAATACCAGATATACCCTCACCTTGTCCTTGACCCATTCCATTCTGCATTACTCTCTTCCAATCATTGCTCTGATGAGATTGCTGCAGTGAACTGTTATCCTCATTGATATTGAAACCAGTGTTAGCAGAAGGTGGAGGAGCAGACTCATTCGCATTCCAATGATTTTGTTTGGTATTTGGCTGCTGAGAACTTTCATATAGCCGGCTTTCTTGAGCTCCACGGTTTAACCAATTGCTTCCTCCTGAAGTATTTTGATTCATCTGTTTAGAATGATTTATATTTAATCTCTCATCGTTCTCATATGGATTGTTCTTAAACCCCTTGTTTCCACGATGCTTATTGTTCATATTGCCACCATCAGAGAGAGGAACAGATCCAGGATTAGGCACGTTCATATCATTCTGTTTGACCAATGGAACTTCAGGATTCTGAAAATTCAAATCAGGCCATTCTTCCTGTACACCTGCACCACTGCTAATCGTTTCTGCTACTGCAGATTGCATCAGAGCACTCCAGCTACCACTCTGAAGAGAAGAAGGCAAACCACTTGCAAACTCATTATTATCATCCAATAAACTAGAGACACCTCCACCTGTGTTTTTACTAGTACCAAAAGCTTCCCAAATGTTAGTATCATCTGAACCAAATAAGATCTTCTCCTCATCAGGATCTAAAGCAGCTTCACCACTTGCTGATTTATCCTCTACTACAGGCCCAAATAGATCCTGTGCTACATTCTGTGAGGCTTTTACTTGCTGAATGTGCCCTTGTCCAGATGTGTTTCCAAATAAACTTTTACCAGGGACAACTTGCTGTTCTGGAATTACATAGTGGTTACCAGGAAATGGATTTTGTGGTTGCTGATGTGGAAATTGGTTTAGAGGCGCCCGTGAGCTGGACATAGGTACTCCATACAAGGACTGATCAACTTGTTGATGAACAAAACCCATTGACCGCTGGGGTTGACCCTGTTCAGGGGAAAACGCAAGTCCACCGGAAGAACCCTGCACCTGCACCTGCGGAGAACCACGCTGCAACCAGTTTGTGTTGGCATTACCAACTGCCACCTCAGCCCAATCAGAAGTTGGAGTGCCATTAATGTGACTTCCGGAAGCTTGTCTTGCAAAGAGAGAAGCTTGATTTAACGAGTTTTGTTGTTGTCTTTGAAGCTCCTCTTGCCTTTGTAGCTCTTGTCTTTGAAGCTCTTGCATCTTTCTGAGCATGAGTTGATGTTGAAGTTGCTGTATGTCACCGAATCCAGGCTGCTGCTGCTGTTGTTGTTGTTGTTGTTGTTGTTGTAATGGTTGCATAAAGCCTGGATATTGATTGTTCATTTGATGTTGACCTTGACCTCCAAAAAGGTCAAAACCACTATGAGCTTCTGAAGCTTCTGACCTAAATGGATTCTTTGGAGGTTCTTCGGGAACAGGTTCCCGTTGTGACTCATAGAATGGAAAGCCCCTTTGGTTTACATTGTTTCGACCATACTCTGTTTCCACTCCCAGAAAATTTGCTTCATTTGGTGGTGTTTGAAAGTTTTGGCGTCCATACATGTAGCCATTTGAGTTTGACTGTTCGTGGAGGGACAAACTTTTAGCAAACTCAGGCCTTGTTTGTGTAAGGTTGAAAAGATGAGGGTCAACACGTTGACTTCCGTGTCCTCTCTCAGTTTCTGTTTATGCACGAAAAGGAAGTGAGGATAAAAAGTCAAGTAAACATCAAAAACTTGCAGTTATGAGTGAATTATGTTTTACCTGATTGTTGTGGATTGAAGTTTCTTGGACTCGAATCTGAGACACCAAACTGTTTCTGATTACCAGCCCACAGATTGTCATTTAAAGGCCAATTCCCATCCCCACGTGGGCCCTGGGATAGGTTGTCTTGTGCAAAGAAATTGTGAACCCTATCCCCAACTCCGTTGCCAGGCATTAATGATTCAGGCCCCAAGTTTTGAGGCTAAAACAAGATGTCTTGTAAATTTACCTTCAACAAGTATACAAAATATAAAAACCCAACCACCTTTGGTTACAAATCCAGTCCCTTGAGGTCCCAATTGTGTAAAGTTTTCAGCATATATCAAGTAATCTCATATCACACTTCCATCAAGTCAACCAAGCTTTTGACATATCCTGCATACAAAAAATTCAAGTTATGGACAACCAGTTAGCTAAAGATATAGAAAGACAGCATGCTCAAGAACAGATATTAATCCAAATGATCGTTGATGAAGTTCAACTTTACTGTATGTGGACAAAAATGTATCAGAACATCCTTAGATAGTTTTCTGGAGATATAATTTAGAGAACTTTTAAACCAGAAATGGATGTGCTTGCACTATAAAAGGAATTTCGACTCTCCTATCCCACATTAAGTGTTTTCTTTACTGTTTCAACCATCCTACATTAGCTTCTATAGAAAACTTGTAGTGATAAACAAATAAGCTGCTCCAAAAGTTCCAACAACTTCAGATCGTTCTCTTTTAGAACCGAGCCTAGGTTGAATAATGTTATAAAACAAATTAGATGTAACTAACTAGTAAGTTGTTTATTCAAATCCATGAGTCCAAACAAAGAAAGAGTTTTAAGTAAGTCTACATAGACAAAAGGCAATGAAACCCCCTTGAATGTTTCCTACTATATGCTCCTCTGCTCTTTATTAGGTGTCCTTGTTGTCCGCATACACTTTTATTTGTCATGTCTCAATGGTCATACGTTATAACTTTAACAAATGTCATCATTAAAAAAATCTTCATATTTGTCTGGTTACTAAGCACTATTTAGTTCTGTATCAATAAAACTACACAAAAACAGCACAATTAAGGAAAGAAATCTATTAATATGATTTGTTGATACAAGAATGTTTGCCAAGGCAACAGCAGACTAAGCAAAATTATGATTGCCAATGGGGTTTGGATTGTTTGTTTCATGAATCAAAATATCTGATTTTGACAATTATGGTTCCTGCTTGGATCTAAACCCCAGCAAATGGTGACTAAGTAATGGTTGTCAATCAATTTTCAGCTTTATTGGTAGAGTTTCATCAGTTATAACAACTAACTCAAAGAGAAAAGGGCCACAGTGACGATGAATCTATCAGCTTGAACAACAACAGTTAACATGTAGATCAAAGGATTCTACTGCATTTGCATCACGGTGTCATTAAGATACATCCCCAATTTCTAGTTGGTTAAGACTTTTTAAAAATAACATAGCTCATTCTCCTATGTCAAATCTTTGAAGGAGCCAAATACAGTGCTTCAAGTAACTATCTATATATAATATAAGTAAGATGTTGGACAATTTTATTATGTGATCATGATATCAAAAATCTGCAAGCAATATTTATCACAACAGCAACAGCACATGCATACAATAGTAACATTCACATGCATAATCCTATAGTAAAGCCAACAGATAGCTTGAAAGAGACGTTCCTCTTCAGCAACTAAATACTAACTAAATATTTTTGGTGACCGAACTGGTTCTGTGAGAAATAACTCATGACAGGCTCAAATTCCTAAACCTTGACTATTCAAAATTCAGAAGACCCTGCTTCACTGAATTACTTAATACCAAATAGAAACCAATGTATGATGTGTCAGGTTCAAAAATACATTTAAAATCTGCACTCAAAGTAATTAAATGAATTGGTAACATTTGATTAGGGAAGACACAGGTGCAGACATGCAACTAACTATCTGATAAAGCAATGAACTGCAGTTAGGGGTCTTTCTTGTAAGCCTTAGTGAGCTCATATCAACTTTATAAGGTTAGGTATCATTGCTCTTAACTAAAACACACAGTCACATACGCCTTGTTACCAAAGTCATCTTAGATAAAAAAAACACTGGCATAGTGTAGCTAACTGAGCATTAGTGGGTATATAAAGAGCTGAAGCTTTCAATAAACAACGCTTCACAAGCTTCAATCAAAAGTCATTTTATAGCTCCATATTTGGAACCAGGGAGGTTATATGAAGTTAGGTACTACCAAAAGGACACACCCACACAAAACTCGATGGCATAACACAAATAGCAACAGTTAATCAAAACAAAAAGCAAGTTAAGCAAGCATATACTCCGAAAAACAATACTAACCAAGCCGCCACAGTCGTCACCACAACTAACCAGCTAAAAATCAGGCTAAACACACGAATATACATACATTGCATGGATAAATAAGGAAACCCCTTGAAGATATTCACGTTTAAAACCCAAAATTCCTTACTAAAACGCAAAATCTGCACAATATAGTGAGAAGATCAAATTTGCTAAACGTTTTCCACACCGAAATTCCGTTCAAATCAACAGTTTATTTAATTAGAAAAGAAGAAGAAAATACCAGGCCAAAGGCGTTACCATCGAAAAGTAAAATTAAAGGCTTTTGCTTTTTGGATGATAAAAAAATTAGGGTTTTGAGGGAAATGAAAAAGATGTGTACGAACTTACTTAGAACATTGAAGCAGAGACGTCGGTGGAGCTGGAAATCGGAGCTTCGTAGAGCTTTAACTTCGGAACTAGGGTTTGAATCGGTGAGAAAAACGGGGGAGGTCGAGAAGATGAGGGATTCAGAGAGAGATAAAGTGATCGTGTGAAATTTTCAACGAACTGTAGAATGAGAGCCTAGGCCCTGGACCTAAGCGGAGGTTCGGGTACGAGCCGTGTGGTTCGGATCGAGCCTGAAAGATTGCACCTCTCCCTCTCCCTCTCCTGGTTGTTATCAATAAGAGCGGTAAGTATGGGCAACGCCCCAAAAGGCGTTATTGCGTGTTATAACACGTGAACACCGCCCATCTTCCCCGTTATTAGGCGTTATTAGCCTGTGCGTTGCTCCCCGTTACCACCATAACATTTCATAACGTCGTTTTTTTGTCTTTTTCCCAATAACGTCGGTGTGGGCGTTGCCCACACCTACCAGTCTAAGAAATTCGAAAGAGGGTATCTATACATCATTTAAAAAACAAAATAAGGTAGAATCTGGACTTTTTTATTTTAGTTTTTCAAATTAATTTTATGAAATAATCATAAAATAATACTATATTTTTAGAACGGTATTTCTAATCGACATATTTGTTTTAAACCGAACTAACTTTAATCCCTGAGAATTGACGGAAAGACGTTACGGTGGTTGTGTTTGTTTTTTTTAATATTATTTTGATTATTTATATCTTCTCTTGAACAAAATATATATGAGAAATTTGTTTATTTAAGACAGAAGACATAAAAATATTTATTTATTTTCTAGAGATATAAAAAATATTTTAATTGAAAAAATTTCTAATATTTAGTTTTTAAAGTTTCTTTCTTTTTTAGAATGACAAACATACCTACTAAATTTACTTCTAATTTTATACATTTTGTCTAATACTTAATTTAAACCCTAGACCACATATGGAAATTACATATGAAATGAATAGCTTTCCAACCTGAGACTAGGATACACATCCTTTGGTTAAAGTTTGTTCTTTTATTTGTTTTTTTTTTTCAACTTGTCTTTCTAAAAAAATCCCTATTTATTTTTATGGGTTAATGTCATAAAAACCTTCAAGTTTTCAAGGTTTTGTCGGTTTTGTCCAAAGTTGAATTTTATGTTCGTTTTTACCCTAACATTTTCGAAAAAATGTTCGGTTTTAACCTTTTACCGGTGATAACAGGTTTTCCAGGTTACCATTATATTAAATTCGCAAAAAAACCCTTAAGTTTACCATTCTTTTGCGTTTTTACCCTTAAGTTTATAATTTTTTTACACTTTTACCCTAAGTATTTTTTTTCATAATATACGTATTCATGCAGAAAAATCATATTTATGTACGAAAAAATGTTTAATTAAATATTGTATTTTTTTAATGTTATATATATATATATATATATATATATATATATATATATTTGTTTGTGTGTGTGTGTGTGTGTTTTTGCATTGTTATATCATTTAAAAAGATAAATAATATTTTTAGAATTATGAATACGTGTTTTATAGATATAGTTTTTAGAAGTATAAATACATATTTTTACATTTTTATATATTAATATGTATCTATACTTCTAAATATATATTTATACTTTAAACAAAACATATATCAAAATACATATTTACACTTCTAAAAATATATGTATATACTTATATAAACATGTTTATGATTGAACAAGTTTTTTTTATTGATATGTATATTTTTAAATACATAAAAATATGTATTTGTAGTTCTAAAAACATATTAATTTGTTTTTTTTACATCTTAAATGGTTTATCCAAGAAAAAAACCTATACACACACATACACACACACACACACACACACATATATATATATATATATATATATATATATATATATATATATATATATATATATATAAAGAAATAACATTAAAAAATGTAAATACAATATTTAATTAAATTTTTTTCGTATATAAATATGATTTTTCTGCATGAATACGTATAATATGAAAAAAAAAATACATAGGGTAAAAGTGTAAAAAAAATTATTAACTTAAGGGTAAAAACGTAAAAAAAGTATAAACTTAAGGGTTTTTTGCGAAGTTAATATGATGGTAACCTGTTATCACCGGTAAAATGGTAAAACCGAACATTTTTTGGAAAATGTTAGGGTAAAAACGGACATAAAATTCAACTTTACGCAAAACCGACAAAACCCTGAAAACTTGAAAGTTTTTATGACATTAGCCTATTTTTATTTTTCAAATTGGTTTTTTTGTTTTTTTATTTGCTTTTTTTTCTATTTGTTTTGTACTATGTTGTTTCTTGTTTTTTTGTTGATTTTGTTTTGAATTTGAACATTGTTTTTATTGATTTTGGAACTTCATGGCTTTTGAAAATGGTAATAGTAGTGGTGGACAATTGTTCTTGTGATAAAGTGGTGAATCATGATGATTTTGTTAAATTTAATTTAATTTAAATAAAAATAAATAAATTTTAGCATGCACACCAAAAAAAAAGTCTTTCTTTATATACAATGAAAACTTTTGCTCCATATTTCTTCTACAAACATGAAAAAAAAAACTATAAACAATTTAGACAAAATTGTAAATTTAGTCTTTGTGGTTTGTAAAAAAAACTGTGGATATTGTCCAAAAAATTTCCGACCTGCATGAATGGTCTAAAATCAAAAAAATTATGTGTTTTTAGTTCCAAAACTTGTAACGTCTCATTTTCACAACAAAAAATTTTCATTTTTATTAAGGTAAAACTTCACAATTTTAAATCCATTTTAAGAAAAAACATTTGTTCCAAATTACATTTGTTGAAAATCAGAGTATTATAATAAACACAGAATCCTCGACCTCAATGCTACTAATGAATGTGTACAGTCACGTCTTCGTCTTCCCATGATCGTCGATAGAACCTGAAAAATAAACAATTGGAAGCACATAGCTTAGTGAATTTCCCCCAAAATATCGCACACAACGGAACATATATAAGCATGCATATTGGGTCCATATTCATCGAACTTGGTTACCCCATGTTTGTTGGTCTGCCGCCTCAACCCAACCGCTCTTCTCGAGCCTTCGTGCCTACGGCTTACAACCGACCCGCACCTGGTCTCTTGGCCTACAGCACACAACAGGATTGCCTCAACCTCACCCACCACAATATGTTGACATATAAACAAACAAGAAATCAAGTTGGCACATAAGCACATGCATCTATCAATCTAACTGTCGAACTGTTCACGACCGCCTATTAGTTCCCTCACAGCACATTGCCGCACTACCGACAATTTCCAAGGAATGCATAGTCATATGTAACCAGAGGTGAGATAGACACTCAGACAGATGAGCCTACTCTAGAGCCACAACCAAACAAGGAATATGCAAGAAAGTCGAGATCAAGAGTCCTCAGGTCGTGAACAGTTCGACAGGTTATCACAGCACATTGCTGCACTACCGACAATTTTCAAGGAATGCATAGTCATATGTAAGTAAGGGGCTGTTTGTTTACCTTTTAATTGAAAAATTAAGAGGTAACCTCTTAAAAATTCAGATGTAGGGTGTTTGATAGCATCTTATTTTATGCCACTTAAATTAAAAAACACCTTTTTCTCAGACATGTGATTGCATCTGAAAAAATAAGGGCACGCGTGTTTCCTGTTTTGCCCACAACGACGCAACCTCTTTTTCCCCTCCCAACCATCAACGACGCCTCTCCTCCACTCCACACTGCTACAACTCCGATCCCCTCTCCTGCCGCCGCCGTCGGATTCGCCTGTGGCGCCTTCGTCTCCTGCTCCAGCTGCATCGCCTCCGGCATCATCTCCGGGTTTTCCCTTGATATTTCAGCCCCACTTTCCCTCTTCTCTTTCAATACACACGACGTTCCCTCACCCACTCCATCTTCGGAACCAGTCGGCCGGATCTTTCGCCAGTGCCGTCATCGCTGAAGCCTTCCAGGTCCCTCATCGACAACTCAACTTTTGGTAAGGTTATTTTTCCCCTAAAACTCGATTATTCTGTTTCAATCCCAATCCCAAACAGCATTCAAGCACGATGGTGAAAGTAAGCATTTTGTGTCGCTCTCTCCATCAATTTTTTTGGCTTGATTTTGTCGATCCTACCCCTTGTGTTGTTGCCCCTGTTCATCAAAGTGATTGCTACTTGTTAGGTTATATTTCAATTTTGATCTGATGTGGTCTATATGTGTTCATTCGAACATACAGCGAATGGTTTTACTTGATTGAACATACTTGTTTGATTGGAGTCGAACGCAATTGAGTCAATTTTGTTCATCGGAGTCAAACATAAAAAGTCAAAATTGAATTCTTATTTGTTGATTCAGTGAATTTCAATTCTAGTTTTGTTCATGTTGATAGCGAATGGCTCGATATTGAGATTGGGAAGTCAGGTTTGATACCTGCATAGCGAAGATGACACAGTCGATTGGAATGATTGGAAACTATTGGCTAGTAATTATAATGAAATATTAGGTTGTTTAGTTTTCATTGTATTTTTTTGTAATATTGGGTGTAATGTTTAGCATCCTACTTCCATGGATTTTTTTTCAAAGATATGATGTTGTAATTGAAAGAAATGATACAAAAGGGTAAAATTGTCATTTTTATCATTCAACACCAAAATTCAGAGGTTCAAACCAAACTGCATGGTAAAATTAACCACTAATGCTCAGTTAGCTACACTATGCCAGTGTTTTTTTTATCTAAGATGACTTTGGTAACAAGGCGTATGTGACTGTGTGTTTTAGTTAAGAGCAATGATACCTAACCTTAATAAGAACCTTAATATTTGTGCTTAGAGTTCTCTTTTTCTTTGCCCCATTAGAGGTAAATATTATTATTTTTTTCTTTTTTTGAGTTAATAATCACATATATACTAGTCATAGAAATAACTAAAAAGCACAAGTAAAACAATCTCTTTTTTAATTTTTATCTAATATTTATTATCTTTGTTTTCCTTTAGGAAGAAACGGCCCAACCCAAATGCTTCGACATAATATTTTATTTGGGCCTGGCTTAGGCCCAACCATCGTCTCCTCCTTCGTCCCGGCATCCCCTCCCTAACTCCGTCGCAGCAGAAGTCGTCGTCGTTAACGGGTAATCATACATCTCTTCCGCCACAGAGGAACACAACAACCTTTCATATCGATAAACTACAATGGCGCAATCACACGTTCCTTCTCTCATATTCAACTCTCTCGTCTTCTCTTCTACAAAAAT